AAATTAGCATTCATTTCAAACATTGAATGCATTTTCAATTTTAGTGCTCAAAAGTTTGGGGCGTTTTCACTGCTGAACGTCATATCATATGTATGTATGATATGAATGAACACAACATTCATTGTTTGTATTCATTATAATCACACTTTCAATACAATAATCAACTGATTGTCAAACAAACCATCGCTTGTTTGCAATTGAATGTCCACTTCATATTATATTAATTCACTTTTATATACTTATATACAAACTTGACATCAAAATAGTGTTTTATAATTGTTATAATTGTTAACACATCACAAATCAATGGCTCAAACAAGTGCTTATCAATCATTAAAACCAATCATCGATTTAAGTGAATGTCTTACGGATTCACCTAAATTCAGGTCTGTCTTACACCACAGCCCATCCCACTTGACCCCCACCCCACCTCACGCCCACCCTTCCACTATTGTTTGATTGGGCGCATTGCGGCTGCAGTGCCCGTTTAGAAGCCAATTGGCTTATAATCAGGTGATCACTAATGAAGTTGGCATTTTACAATCCAAAATGTAGACAATACTTGATGTTGGTCAAATTAGTAGAAACACATTAAGAGTATATTATGTGAAAATATGTATATCATATCAATATTAATAATACATTGTGATTATGGTCTCATTTTACTTAATTTTCAAATAAAACGTTAATACATAAGAAAACTACAAAGAAATGAAATAAAGTGAATTGTGAGCGATGCCCGAGTGAAGCATCACTGATGCCAGTGTATGATCATTGATCATGGTGCAACTTTTTAAATTTGTACTTTTTGAACACTGTACTTAAGATATAATGTAGAATTTTCTTCATAGAACTCATTTTTAGAGAAACCCATGAAATTGACAGCAAGTTTATTTTATATTCTCAACAAATAACATGTTAAAATGTTGGAATTGCATACTATTTTTGCCACAAAAACATTATTATGACCGATTTATAAACCAATTATTCATAAACTAATTGTTGTTAAAATTATTATAAAATAATTATAATTGTATACAAAACTCAATTTCAGTATCACATTAATAAATGTGACACTATATTAATAATTAAATTGATTGTTATTAATCTAATTATTATTAAATTATATTTATATAATTGTGTTAATTATTTATAGATTGGTTTTGGAACAAAACGAAAACGATTTGCTCGAGTTTGAGACCAAAATTGATAAAGTATTCAATTATTTCATTTCAATATTTTTACTTTTTATTTATGCGGCATATAATTTAAAGTAAAGTAAAGTAAAGTAAAGTATCCTTTTATTGGAATCATTATCAGCTACTGCTGGTATTCTTAATAATCCAATTACATTCAGTGTTTTTATATACAATACATATTACATATTTACTCTTATAGTTTATATCTTGGTCACATTTTAATCACTTATAAACTAATTTAGAAATTAATATTTTTAATCCATAATTTTTTATTTTAATAAAATAATTTCAATTATTGTTTTGTGATATTTTTTACTATTAAAACAAATTATACGTTTAGAAAATAATTTAACTTAATATATTTAAATTAATATTAATTAGCTTATTTATAATCCACTAACAGATCGTTAAATTATGTTCAATTATGGTAGAAATTGGTAAATCATTCATCAAAGCTAAAAGGTATTTCTCATTAATTGGAATTAATTTTATTATACGGTATTTGGTTATCAATTCTATATACCATAATCGTCTGAAAATGAGTGCTTTCTTTCATTCTTTTATTGAAAATATTGTTTGTTTGTTCAAAAATTACAATATTTCAATATTCTTATTATTGTATAGTAGATATTAATTACATACAGCATTGCGTTTAATTCAAACATTATTTTTGTTTATGACGATTTAATAACATTTCTTAAATATTGTACTTTCTTTGTGTAATAGCAAAATATTTGTTGTTAGGCTTTAAATTATTTAAACTGTATTAAATTATGTATTCAGTTGCTGTTTGTGTCAAAAATGAAATTATTTATTTATTATCAGAGAATTGCATTAAAGTTAAATATAAGACCCCAAATAGTTACTTAAATAGTTATAATAAAATGATACTGGTTGTGAAATATATCCTCAACTCGAAATTACAATTAAGACTCTTGGTAATTTCAATGTTGTGAATATAAAACATACCAAAACTCGTGATACTTGTGATGTATTTCTCTTTCTTTACATTTTATATTTATTTCTATTACTAAAATTTCTATTTGTTTTATTTCTATCTCAAATACTTCTGTTTTTAAAGCAAAATTCAATCAGTTTTACAAAATAGTTAAAATAGTTACTACTGTTTACAATTTGTAATTAAATGCAATTCCCTGGTTGTTATTATATTTGAAGTGCGGGCTCCAGTATTACAGCAACTCTTTGGTTTGCTGTTATATTTTCCACATTATTAAATATTCATTACTCATTCATTTTAGCGTAATTAATCAATATTTCATTTACTTTTTAACCCTAATACTGTTTAAGGGAACTAATTTTATAATTCATAACTTTACTGACTTTAGTTATTCCTAAAGCATAGATTTTTCGGGAATTGCCGAATATAATTAGTTACTAGAGTGCTCGGCAATAACACGCAATTAGCCTTTTGAGGGTTTAACAGAATAAAAAGATGCCATTTTTATCTTTTCGAAATGACTGTTTAACTCCCGGTTTCACCGTTTTTATTTCCGAATAATCTCTGCTCTAGTTATTGCCGTCGTTCCTATTATATTATTTTTGCATTTCGTATATATAATACTGGATATTGCGGTATATATTGGATAGGAATTGAGACTCTAGTGCCAAATTGATGGCTAAACTGTATGAATAAATACTAACTAATATGACTAACTTGTGTTGTGGTTGATTACAGTAACTTCATTAACGGCATTTGGGATCTATTGGTCTACTTTAAAGACGACCCATTGATTATAAGTAGCCTAAACCGGATCGTCCACACGTTGACTGAGCTGTTGAAATATGACACAATACTTATTGATCAGGCGAATCGTGCGGTCGGCAAAAATATGTCCACATTCTTAAGGGATGACATCCATAAAGCAAAGGACACGAAAAGGCATTTCGACAAAATGAGCGATGAATACGACTCTATGCTTAACAGACACTCACAGATTCCCCGCAATAAAGCCAACGAGTGTGAAGAGGTGTCCAATCTCTTGACGGCCACCCGTTCCTGCTTTCAACACTTGACTCTCGATTACGTCACACAACTCTCTGTTCTCAAGAATAAAAAACGTCACGAAGTACTCGATTCGGTGAGTATTACATGTCATCCTATCTTACCATTTATTAATTGTCAACATTTATATTTATAACTCATTGTCGATTTTATCGTTGCATTTACAATCACAAATCACTATCAAATTAAAATATTAAACATCACTTACCATTTAATGGGGTTTCATTGAATAATGGAAACAATATAACTGTGAATGTATTGAAATTATTGCAATATTTACAACCTAATTGAAATTTTAAAAATATTATTATTACGCCTTTTAGAATCAAATTAAATTATTAAGTGGTAGCTCCCTAAGCTGTGGTTCAGTCACACAAAAATATACATTCAGAGTCTGATTAATTAAAATATGACTGGATATGTAATATGAGCAAGGTGTCTACGTTAGTAGCAAATTATTGCTCAT